AAAAAAAAAAAAAAAAAAAAAGGTGCCACTTGGGGCAGATTACATTCAAATTCCACCATATATACTGTCCAAAATGAAACACTGGGGAATGGCAAAGGTGTTAATGACACACATCACTTTTACAAATAAAAACAAATATAAAACATTTAATAAAATATTAAATAATTGGAAAATATGGAAATAATCACAATTCACTTTTAAATTAGAAGAAAATAATAACTTTAGTTTTCCAGGCTACAAATAAGCTAAATATAAATGCCAACTTCCAGGAGCTAGGAAAACAAGTCCGCCTACAGAGAAAAGCCTGAATTCACGCAGAACTTGAATTCAGAACCAACCACTCATTACTGATCTTCCTTGGGGGAAGGCCAATACCCTCTTACGTGCATTTTCACTTTTAAGTGTGTCTGGAAGCATCAAGCTAAAGGCTATTACAGGGCAAAGATCAGGTGCAAAGAGAGAAGCAGGTGGCTCTGTGACTAAAGACTCAAAAGCCTCGCAAACGGCCAGCTGTGAAGAGATTCGAAAAGGAAGCCCTGGAGAAGGTCGCTGGCGGACACGTGCGCTCTAGAAATACAGAGTCACAGCTTCGTCATTGCCCTCAGCTCCCTCCAGTTCAAAATGGCGCCGACACCCCTCCCTCCCCCGGCGGCCGCTGCGCTCGCACGTGCCCTGCGGGGCGGGGAGGAGAGCCGAGGACCTGGATGGGCGCATGCGCAGCCTCACCGTGGCTGCGCGCCTGCGCGCCTGCGCGAGGGCTGGAAGTGGGCGGGCGGTTAGGGGCGCGCGCGCGCGGCGGGGGCGGGCTCTGCAAGGGATTAGCAGCGGCTGCGGAGCAGGACGTGTCAGCGAAGATGGCGGGTCGGGTGAGTGCTGGCTCCCGAGCCGCGGCTCGAGGCGGGGGCGCCGGGCTTGCGGGCACTCTGAGGTCCGGACAGCCCCAGGGGAGGGGGAATGGCTCTGAGCAAATGGGGCGTTGGAGGGGGGACAGGCTAGAGAAGAGCTTGAGGGTAAGAAGGGGGTGCGGTGGTAGGGAAATACCCTCCTCAGAAACTCCATCCTCCTAAGAAAGCTCGTGGGGAGGTGGACCCCTCTCTACCAGGGTCTCCTGAGTCTCCCTTAGTTCTCCTTTTCCTTCCCTTGGGCTGTTCCCCTCGCCCCTCAAGGCAACCGCAGTATGGTGGCCGTTGCATCCGTTTGACGGATTCGGGGGGTTTCTCCTCACCCCCTTGCGAGGGCTTATCCGTTGCAGCCTCTGGAATAACTGCGGAGGACCCATCTGCTGCATCAGGGCGAG